ATATGATTGTTCTATCTCTTTCTCTCCAGAGCAAGATTTTATTCTTCATGGAGGACCGAATGTTTAATAAATTATTGTAATGTACATGTGCTTAAACATTATCCAAAAAAAAAAAAAAATCAAAAAAACCCCCCATAGATTTGCTATTGTTTCTGATACTTCTCAATTTATACAAATACTAGATGATTTGAAATTTTACCATTACTGACAGAACAATTACAATATATATTATTAGTTTTTACTGATAGTTAATTACAGGATTATAGCAGGAAGAAATACTTTGTTCAAAACCCTACAGTTACGTTCGGAGCAGAAGTACCGGTAGATATACGCCCGGCCCTCCTTTTGTAAAAACTTGAAAAATAACAATTTCATCAATTGAGGTACCTGTTATACTATGTTATAGATATTGTACTTCGGGTGCTCTTATTCCATTAAGGATAAACAAAGCGAAAACGCACATTTTACTGATTTTGTCAGCACGTTTTTGAAAAAATTAGCTTGTATAGGCCTAGTATTTGATACAAAAGACTTATTCAGAAAAAAAGAGGAAAAAAAACACTGAAATGTATTGATTAAAGCACAATTTTTTACAACTCTATAATTCTGGTAAATCTTGTGTTTTTCACTATAGAAATCAACGAAAAATATTTAAAAAAAAAAAACAGCCCCCTCTCATGGAACAAAAATTCCCTTTTACTGGTATTATGAATTTATAAATTCGTATCCAAGCTTTTGTTGTTTCAGCGGGGGGGGGGGGGGGGGGGGGGGGGGGGGGGTTACAGACAAAAAATCAGCAAATGTGGTCATTTTATTACCAATTTCAAATAAAGTTACAAATAAAAAGATGTACGTTATCAATGAAACATATGAAAATTACGAACAGTATTCAAGCTCAGAAGTCCATTAATCATATATGTTGAATGAATTTTACATAGATCTATGGTTAAACACACGGAAAGATTTAAGGGTCATTTATCCATTTCCATGCACATTTGAAAATCCGGTGATGTTTTAAAGTCTGATTTCAATGAATAAAATTTTCCACTCCCCTTATGAAGAGGTGCAAAAAAAAGCAATTAACTTATTGACCCTGTTTCAAAATTATCAATCAATTACTAGTGAACTCTTCTTTGCATTTAAACAAGTTTTAATGGCCAAAACACCATTTATATTGAATTAGATGGGTGTAAAATGTAGGCGGGAATTGTGAGTTAGCGTGCATAGTTCTTTTATACAATAAAACAACCAAATATCTCTACACTATAAAAGAAAAGAAATAGTGTAAGTGTAATGTGACAATTTATTTTTTTTTTATTCAGAATTCAAAAAACAATATTAATAAATTCACAAAACATTTCATAACACACATTTACTCGTAATCAAGCATACTCAGTCTTACAAATTCCTAAATATTTTGAAAATAATGCATCTCTTGTGTTTCAGTCATTCTTCACATTGATCCAAATGAAGACCATCTGACACATTACCAAACTCAATTGTACAACAATAAATTACAGAAAAAAAGTAAACAAGAATACAACATTTCAGCTGTTCTTAAGTGCAAGAACTTTGAAGTATTTTATACTTAAGCTTAAGTAATCTAGAAGATTCTGTGGTCACATGATCACATTCAAAAGTGAAGATATAAATAGTCCTTTACAACCATTCATTCAATGACCCCCCCCCCCCCCAAAAAAAAAAAATTTAAAAAATTTTGTGTCAAGTAAAAATACTTTTTTTTTACTATTATTATAACTTAGAAAATGCTCTTGTGGTTTTGTAGTTGGACATTATAATTATTTACTGTCTAAAAAATCTTTAAACATCAACTTCAACTTCATGATCATCGTCTCAAGCCACGGTTACCGTTCAGAGTCCGCTCATAGGCATAGAACCAAGAATGGGATAGGATCGTACATTTTGGCCGTAGTATAAACCGTTCTCTCGTCGTTTTTTTTTTATCAACATCATACGTAAGTAACGTATGTGTTTTTGTACACCTAGCCTGGTTCCCTGTCCCTGTTTTGCTTCGTGTACTCCGCGTCACTGCCATGGCAAGGATGAGCCAGGGGACCAGGCTATTGTTGATATGCGCTTTCGGTAAATGTCGTAAAAAATAATTTATTTACAGAATCAACAAATGAATATAAATCGAAATGTTTACAATATTCTGGAATTGAGAGGAAACGTTTAAAACTCTTCGAAAGAATTAAAAATGTATATTTTTTTTTATCTTTTGCGATACATAGTTACGTCAATCTGATTAAAGACATATGCGCGGTTTTCTGCGCAGTGGCGCGAAATTTCGAATTAGGTCCGTCGTCCTTAAACGTTGATAATTTAGCGTTTCACATATTTATTTAAGCTGATTTGGAGGTACATGTAACTATGGCTCTCCCGATTAAAATTGCGGGGTAATTGGTCAGTCTGTGATGTGTAAATTACTGTTAAAACAGCACTGTGAATTGGTATGTGTATCTTTTGCAGTTATCTATCAAATTAAATTATAAAACAAACATTGTAAATTAAGTAATATATTTTAGACTTAGTTTTGATTATGGTGACAATGAAGAATGAACTTGACATCCGCTTGGAAAATCATCCACGATTTCTCAGACATGTTTCATGGTTTTCTGAATTTTTTCTTGTCTATTGAAATAAAAAATGTATGCATGTAGTTTTTCTGATCAAGAATAAAGACAAATAGAATGTTTTTAACTTCTAACATCTTTATTTAAATCATCTTGTGCTTAGGAATAGAGCTACTTGAAAAACTTCAAGAAAATGGGTAGTTTAATACGATTAACCGGTTAATCGGTCGGAACGTCTTGCGTTAATTGATTAGCAATTCTGTATTCGACTGCCATCCCTAATATATATATATATATATATATATATATATATATATATATATATATATATATATATATATATATATATATATATATATATATATATATATATAAAGAGAGAGAGAAAGAGAGAGAGAGAGAGGAGATCTATTTTGTCATTGTATATTAAAAATATCTTTAAGTTTTAGATTCTGTAACACATCGGATTGTTTGAATCCACCTACAAATGCTAGTAAGCCAGACAAAGACAACAGTTGTGAATGTCTTAATGGGACCTCTGTATTTCTAATCATACTTGGGACATTATTCGTCATAATAATCATTATTTTGTGTGTATGGGGAATACAAAGACAGAGGAGAAAAGGTATATATATATATATATATATATATATATATATATATATATATATATATATATATATATATATATATATATATATATATATCTATATATATATATATATATAAAATTAGTTTATTCAGGATATAACTTTGGGCAATACAGCCCATCAGTTTACAAAAATAACATATAATAACATATATTACAAAGTTTAAGACTCTCAGTGAGCTTAAATTGGGGGGTGAAACCCCTGGTCAAGTGTTCCTCAGTCCCACAGTTCCACTCATTTATAATATACAATAATATATATTGAACAAATTAAGTACAATACAATAAGCAGCACAATACATAATTCAAAGTTATAATACAATATATAGCAATGATGTTTTAATGTACAGACATCTGAAAATATAAACCTTACATAGATAGAAATTAGGTTAACCTGATTGATCTTCGTTACGTAATATTAGAGCATAATGAATATATTTCCCTAAACCAACTAAAGTAGATATGCGGTTGGTACCCAACAATTGGATTAATTTAAAAGTACTTGGCGATTTGTAATAATATTCATTTATATATTTTTTTCTTAAATTTAGATATCTAGGGCATTGAAGAATGAAATGGAATTCGTCTTCTATTTCACGTGTATTACAAACATCGCATAATCTATCCTCTCTACTTTTGCCTTGATACCTTCCGCATTCTATGTTAAGATAGTGAGACGAAAGTCTAATGCGGGAAATATGTTTTTTTAAATTACTCTGAAAAGGTTTTGTTAAATAGGATTGCATTTTACAGAAGTCAGATTGGACAATATGTTTATATAGAAAGCATTTTGACGAATTATCCATAAATGCAGTGCACTCTTGGAGGTATATATCTAGGATTCTATTTTTATACACGTGCATAAAATGAGCAAAGTTTATTGCTTGCTGTTTTATCCAAAATTCTCCCAGACCCAATCTAAATAGTTCCAGTTTTACATCACGCGCCCAGTTTATACTTGTTCCCGACCCATTCTCTGCATCATATCGCAGGTATTCATAAGAAGATTTTAAAATGCAGTTTTCTGTTTTTAATAATTTACACCAGAATTTCATAATTTTCAATTTCCTTTGTACAATAAGTGGATATCGTCCCAATTCTCTATAAATCATATAATTGCATACATTGCGCCTAACACCGAGGGTAATTTTACAAAAGGATAAATGCAGTCTTTCAATTTCCATGAAAAATTTACGCATCCTCCTTTTCTGAATACTAAAATTTTGGTTTTTTCAGTGTTAACAGTCAAATTCCACGAGGTAACATATCCGTGTAACGCGTCAAGCATATACTGTAATTCTTCGGGTGAGTTAGCGAATATTACGGTGTCATCTGCGAACATTAAAACAAAAAGATTTAGCTCCCTTAATTCTACGGATGGGCATTTGTCGTTTATGAAGTGATTTTCCAAGTCGTTAACATACATATTGAATAGTATTGGTGATAACACTTCCCCCTGGAGCAACCCGGTGTTTACTGGAAATTCTACGGATATCTCTCCAGCATTCTTGACACATGCGCGCACGTCGACATAAAGCGATCGGATGATTCGAAGGAATTTTCCGGTAATCCCCAATTTAATCAACTTATACCATAATTTTTCTCTGTTAATTGTATCAAATGCCTTTTTATAGTCAATAAAACAGCAATATAAACGTTGTTTGTTATTCAACTTTTGTGATATTAAACTTTGAAGCGCGAATATTGCATCAGTAGTTGATCGGCCAGTCTGAAATCCAAATTGCGCATCAGTGATA